GTGGGGCTAGGTGTATGTGAGCAGTGGGTCAGGGTGTGTGTGTAGTGGGGCTGGGGGCTGTGTGTGCGCAGTGGGGCTAGGTGTATGTGAGCAGTGGGTCAGGGTGTGTGTGTAGTGGGTCTGGGGACTGTGTATGCAGTGGGGCTAGGTGTATGTGAGCAGTGGGTCAGGGTGTATGCGCATTGGGGCTGGGTGTGTGTGTGCACACAGTGGGGCTGGGTGTGTGCAGTGGGGCTGGGGACTGTGTGTATGTAGTGGGGCTGGGAGCTGTATGTGTGCAGTGGGGCTAGGTGTATGTGAGCAGTGGGTCAGGGTGTGTGTGCAGTGGGGCTGGGGGCTGTGTGTGCGCAGTGGGGCTAGGTGTATGTGAGCAGTGGGTCAGGGTGTGTGTGTAGTGGGGCTGGGGGTTGTGTGTGCACAGTAGGGCTGTGTGTGTGCACGTGGAGTGAGGCTGGGTGCATGTTGCTGTAGATTTGCACACACAGTGGCGGGGGGCAGTGCATGTGAAGTGCCCCCCCCCCACCCGTGGCTGTGGGGCTGGGTACTGTGGGAGGCTGGGATTCCAGGGCAGTGGCTCCTAAGGAGGCTGCTCTGGTTTTTGTGGGTGGGGAAACCCCAGGCTGCACCCCCCTGCCCCTGGGAGCAAACCGGGAAATCACCCTTTGGGGGGTGAGATTCACGTTTCTTCCGACTTCTTTTTGAGTTGCATTGACCTGCCCCACACTGCCACATACCCCCAAAGACACCCCCACACCCCTTCCGGCCCTGCCCGTGACCCCGCCCTGGCCTGGTGCCTCTGCAGGGCGGGTCTGGCTGGACAATGTGAACTGCGGGGGCAGCGAGAAGAGCATTGCGGACTGCAAGTCACGGGGCTGGGGGAACAGTGACTGCAGCCACGAGGAGGACGCGGGCGTGATCTGCAAGGACGAGCGCATCCTGGGCTACGTGGACTCCAACGTCATCGAGGTGAGTAGCTGCAGCCCTGGGGTCCGGGCCCCATGCAGTGGGGCTGCCAGTCCCCCCCCCACTCATCCCCCCCACAGCGGGGCTGCCAGTCCCCCCCCCCCATGCCCCACGCAGCGGGGCTGCCAGTCCCCCCCCATGCCCCATGCAGTGGGGCTGCCAGTTCCCCCCATGCCCCTCGCGGGGCTACCACCAGCCCTCTCGCTGGGGCCCACACACTGGGGCTGCCCTGCCCTGACCCAGTCTCGCTCCTGCCCAGGCTCTGTCTCCCGGGTTCTCATGAGCCTGATGCGGTCTCTGTGTCCCTGTCATTGGGGCTGGGCAGGCTGGCACCAGGTAGGCTGGGGTACTGGGCAGGCTGGGTGAACCGGGCGGGCTGGGCATACTGGTGCTAGGCAGGCTGGGCGGCTGGCGTGGGGCTGGGAGGGCCGGGAAGGCCGGTACTGGACAGGCTGGCGCGGGGCTGGGCAGGTCGGGGCTGGACAGGCTGGCGCGGGGCCGGGAGGGCCGGTGCTGGGCAGGTTGGCGCGGGGCCGGGAGGGCCGGGCAGGCCAGTGCTGGACCAAGTGGGCCGGGCAGGCTGGCACTGGGCAGGCTGTTGGGACCTGTCGGGTGGAGCTCAGCATCCCTGACTGGGCTCTCCCTCTGCCAGGCCGAGCAGAACCAGGTGGAAGAGCTCAGGCTGCGGCCTGTGGTCTCGGGCGCCAGGAAGTGGCTGCCGGTGACGGAGGGCGTGGTGGAGGTGCGCTACAAGGAGGGCTGGGCGCAAATCTGCGACGAGGGCTGGAACCACAAGAACAGCCGCGTGGTTTGCGGGATGATGGGCTTCCCGGCCGAGAAGAAGATCAACAGGAACTTCTACAAGTGAGTGAGGGGGCTGGAGGAGAGCCCCACTGATGGGGCGGGCCTGGCACTGCCCAGTGGGGCCTGCATGGGTACCAAGGAGGGGGGAGTCCTGTGGGGCTGGGGGGCGGGAAGCTGGAGTAAGGCTGGGGGGCCCCACAGTGGGGCAGCCCTGGTGATGGCTGGGTCAGTGCTGCCAACTCTCATGATTCTGTTGTGACTCTTGCGATATTTGGTGTTTTTCCTAAATCCCCAGCTGCTGGAGTCAGGTGACCGCGAGGGCATCGTCTCCCGTGTGACTAAGCTGGTCGGTTGGGTGGGACACGGAGGTGGAACCTGATGGCTCAGAATGGGGCGAGGGCACGGACCCTGCATGGGCCTTGTTACAAATTCCCTGCTTTTGGGGCAGCGACCCTGGGTCCATGCCTGTGTCCGGCGAGCCCCGGAGTGCTCCCATATTGCCAGCCACACTGAGCCTGGCCCTGCTGCATGGGGAGCCTGGGGCAGCCTCACGGTGCCTGGGTGGCCTGACGTGCTCGGACCTGGCCTTGAGCCTGTGCAGAGGCTGGGTCTGGCCCAGGAGGCTGTATGTGCACGGCCCTGCAGGGATCCAGCGCTGTGGAGTTGAGCGCCAGGGGGCCTTCCTCATGCCCTCCCAGGCCCCACGCTGGCCGACAGCTCCAGCCTGGCTCTGCCATGACTCCCAGGGAGCTGCCAGCCCTGGTGCTGTCTCTGGACTTGTGGGCTGTAGCTCTGGGCATCTGCCGGCCCCTCACCGTCCCCTGACTGGCAGGTCACCATTTCCTTTCTGCAGGCGGTTAAAGCGAGCAGCCAAGATAAAGAGCCGGAGTCCAGGGCCGGGTGCAAGGTAACAGGGTAGAGCCAGGGCCACATCCTGGGGCCGAGTCTCCCCGGCAGGTCTGGGGCTGCCGAGTCTCTCTAGATGGGAGAAGCTGCCCCTGCCTGGGCCAGTCTCTTCTGCCATCAGGGCTGGATTCTGGGCTGGGCCCTGGGAATCCAGCTGGAGCCATGAACTTCACCCTGGGATCAAAGGCTGCCCTGGGCAGGGGACTGAGCCCCTCGCTGCACGGCTGCTGCGGGGCCTTTGCATTTCAGTGGGTGAGGTTCATTCGGCCGTGGCTGGGATGCAAGGCCTGGTCGGGGTCTGACCCGCCCCTGCATGGGGCTTCTGCTTGCGTTCTGTGTCCTCCACGAGAAATGGCTATTTCCCCTTGGCCTGGCATTGCATAGGGTCCCCACGCCAGCCCCTCAAAGGGGGCTGTGCCCAGGTGGGGTCTGATCCGGTCCCTGTACTGGGAGCTGGGAGCGCCATGCCCACCACTGGCTGGCAAGGGCACCTCTGAGGGGGACACGCTGGGGATCCCTATGTGGGGGCCATTGCCAGAGAGATGGGACTGTTGGTCTTCACCCCCTCCCCCCCAGCCCAGCAGTGGGTTCGGTGGCTGTCGGGGTCAGCCCAAGGCCCTGGAGCAGAGCTGTCTCTCCTGGAGGGGGAAGGAAGGGCTGGTGGACACGGGCCATTTTCTGGAGAAAATGGCAGTGGGGCAGCTGGGCTGGCTGTGAGTCCCCCCGTTCCCCACCCGGACATGCCTGCACCTAAGCCATGGGGCTGCGGGACTCGTGTGTGGCGGCAGGGCCTGGAGGCTGTAGTGGGAACTGCGCAACATGGTAGCATTTACTTTCAGAAAGGGGGGACTACACAAAAATGAGGAAGTTAGTGAAACAGAAATGAAAAGGTCCAGCGCCAAAAGTGAAATCCCTGCAAGCTGCATGGAAACTTTTTAAAGACACAATAATAGAGGCTCAACTTAAATATATACCCCAAATTAAAAAACATAGTAAGAGATCCCAAAAAGTGCTACTGTGGCTAAACAACAAAGTAAAGGAAGCAGTGAGAAGCAAAGAGGCATCCTTTAAACAATATAAGTTAAATCTTAGTGAGGAAAATAGAAAGGAGCATAACCACTGGCAAATGAAGTGTAAAAATATAATTAGGAAGGCCAAAAAACAATTTGAAGAACAGCTAGTCAAAGACTCAAAAAGTAATAGCAAAAAAATGTGTAAGTACATCAGAAGCAGGAAGCCTGCTAAACAACCAGTGGGGCCACTGGACGATAGAGATGCTAAAGGAGCAGTCAAGGAAGATAAGGCCGTTGCCGAGAAACTAAATGAATTCTTTCCATTGGTCTTCACGGCTGAGGATGTGAGGGAGATTCCCAAACCTGAGCCATTCTTTTTAGGTGACAAATCTGAGGAATTGTCCCAGATTGAGGTATCATTAGAGGAGGTTCTGGAACAAATTGATAAACAAAACAGTAATAAGTCACCAGGACCAGATGGTATCACCCAAGAGTTCTGAAGGAACTCAAATGTGAAATTGGAGAACTACTAAGTGTCATTTGTAACCTATCATTTAAATCAACTTCTGTACCAAATGACTGGAGGATAGCTAATGTGACGCCAATTTTAAAAAGGGCTCCAGAGATGATCGCAGCAATTACAGGCCAGTAAGCCTGACTTCAGTACTGGGCAAACTGATTGAAACTATAGTAAAGAACAGAATTGTCAGACACACAGATGAATATAACTTGTTGGGGAAGGGTCAACATGGCTTTTGTAAAGGGAAATCATGCCTCACCAATCTATTAGAATTCTTTGAGGGGGTCAACAAGCATGTGGACAAGGGGGATCCAGTGGATAGAGTGTACTTAGAATTTCAGAAAGCCTTGACAAGGTCTCTCACCAAAGGCTCTTAAGCAAAGTAAGCTGTCATGGGAGAAGAGGGAAGGTTCTTTCATGGATCAGTAACTGGTTAAAAGATAGAAAACAAAGGGTAGGAATAAATGGTCAGTTTTCAGAATGGAGAGAGGTAAATAGTGGTATCCCCCAGGGGTCTGTACTAGGACCAGTCCTATTCAACATATTCATAAATGATCTTGGAAAAGCGGTGAACCGTGAGGTGTCAAAATTTGCAGATGATACAAAACTACTCAAGATAGTTAAGTCCCAGGCAGACTGCAAAGAGCTACAAAAGGAATCTCACAAAACTGGGTGACTGGACAACAAAATGGCAGATGAAATTCAGTGTTGATAAGTGCAAAGTAATGCACATCGGAAAACATAATCCCAACTATACACATAAAATGTGGGGGTCTAAATTAGCTGTTACCACTCAAGAAAGAGATCTTGGCGTCATTGTAGATAGTTCTCTGAAAACATCCACTCAATGTGCAGTGGCAGTCAAATAAGCCAACAGAATGTTGGGAACCATTAGAAATGGATAGATAATAGGACAGAAAATATCATATTGCCTCTATATAAATCCATGGTACGCCCACACCTTGAATACTGCGTGCAGATGTGGTCGCCCCATCTCAAAAAGATATATTGGAATTGGAAAAGGTTCAGAAAAAGACAACAAAAATTATTAGAGATATGGAACAGCTTTCATATGAGGAGAGATTAATAAGACTGGGACTTTTCATTTCGGAAAAGAGACAACGAAGTGGGACCATGATAGAGGGCTGTAAAATCATGACTGGTGTAGAGAAAGTAAATAAGGAAGTGTTATTTACTCCTTCTCATAACACAAGAACTAGGGGTCACCAAATGAAATTAATAGGCATCAGGTTTAAAACACACAAAAGGAAGTATTTCTTCACACAACGCACAGTCAACCTGTGGAACTCTTTGCCAGAAGATGTTGTGAAGACCAAGACTATAACAGGGTTCAAAAAAGAACTAGGTAAATGCATGAAGGATAGGTCCATCAATGGCTATTAGCCAGGATGGGCAGGGATGGTGTCCCAAGCCTCTGTTTGCCAGAAGCTGGGAATGAGCGGACAGGGGATGGATCACTTGATGATTCCCTGTTCTGTTCATTCTCTCTGGGGCACCTGGCACTGGCCACTGTCGGAAGACAGGACACTGGGCTAGAGGGACCTTTGGTCTGACCCAGACTGGCCGTTCTTATGTTCTTATGCTGTGCGCACGCAGTGGCAGTCCCCGCCCTGAGATCTGGGTCTGATACCTTCCCAGCACTGGCTGAGGGACATGAGCCAAGGTTAGCAGCAGCCCGAGCCACCCCTCATTGTTCCAGGTCAGAGCTCAGATCCTGGAGAGCCTGGGGGCGGCCGAGGGACCAGAGAGGAGCTGGGCACGCACTGAACTCTCTGTTGCTCTCCCTGCTAGAGAAGGGAAGTGGGGAGTGCAGGGGGCTGCCCTGGTCTTGGTGGGTTCGGCTGGTGGCTGGCTCCCTTTGGGGCCCTGCCCAGCCCATTGGCATTGCCCGGAGGTCAGCAGGAGCAGGGGCTTGACACAAGTTCCCACCTGCTAGTGCTCCCATATTGCAGGGAGCCATCCTCAATCTACTGCTTTTGACACCCGCCCTAGCTCCAGGTAGGCCGCGGAACCCTGCCAGTGGAGAGGTGGAGCAGAGGGGACCTAGATGGAGAGGAGGATGGGGTGGAGTGCATGAGGGGATGGAGGCGTACCTGGGGGAATGGATGCATGGTTACATACAGAGAGGGGTGAGTGGCAGGGTGTGTACAGGGATGGATGGAGAAATACGTACGGGGGTGGCTGGCTGGGTGTACGGAGGGGGAGGGATGGGTGAGTGGATAGCTATGCATGGGTGTGGGTTGGTGGGTACGTATGGGGGCGGCTGGCTGCTGGGTGTACTGAGGTGAGGGGCGGCTGGCTGGGTGTACGGAGCGGGAGGGATGGGTAAGTGAATAGATATGCACAGGTGTGGGTTGGTGGGTACATATGGGGGTGGCTGGCTGGGTGTACAAAGGGGTAGGGATGGGTGAGTGGATAGCTATGCACAGGTGTGGGTTGGTGGGTACATATCGGGGCGGCTGGCTGGGTGTACAGAGGGGGAGGGATGGGTGGGAGGATAGCTATGCACAGGTGTGGGTTGGTGGGTACATATGGGGGTGGCTGGCTGCTGGGTGTACAGAGGGGGATACACTGGACGGGATAGAGGGGTAGCGCAGGACCATGGTTTGGGGCAGTGTTTACACGGGTGGTGCCAGCGATGCTGCACGTCACAGCTCCGTTTGGAGCAAGGAGGTTGAATTACGGCCAGCGCAGAAGCGAGCAGTAGAGTCTGAATTCCAGCTTTCCTTCCCGACCCAGACACACCGGGCACTCAAGCTATGCCAGGGGCAGGCTGACGCTGTATCGGGAGGAGTGGGGCTCCCGGCAGGGCCGGGCGCAGTGCCTTGGGGGAGACAGCCTGGAAGCCTGCCTGGCCCCCTGCAGCTAGGTCCCTGCCCGGGCCCCTGCCTGTCTGGGGTTACACGGGAGAGGGTGAGGTTGCGAGCGGTGCAGGGCGCTCATCCTCAGGGGTCGCCGGGGTCGGGAGCATGCAGCATGCATGCCATGGCCATAGGGCACCGGGCGCCATGTGTGCTGCATTCCAGGGAGCATGTGCCTGCCTGTGGGATGTGGTGGCTGGCGTGACACAGGACATGGCTGCGTCACACCTGTCATGGGCCATCAGGTGGGAAATGGAGTCACTGCAGTGGGTGACTGATTTCCGGCCATGAGGTGGGAGAAGCTGTCGCTGGCAACAGCTGCCCTCCTGCTGTGAGCCCCGCCTGAGGCCTGGTGGAATGGGCGGCACCCGGGCCCTGTCCAGGTGGATCTGGTGCCTGCACGCCTGGATCTGGCCAGGGCCCTGGAGGCAGCTGGGCAGCCCCGTTCTGCCGGGCCGGCTGTGGCAGGCAGAGCCAGGGCAGGACGTTGGTTGCAGACCTGGGCTCCGAACTCCTTGACTGTTGTTTTCTATTTTCCAGGCTGGTCTCCAAAGCTCGCCCCAAACACAAGCCCAGGGAGGACTTTGGGGTCCCCAAGAGGTAAATGGGGGCCTGGTACCAGAGGGTCCCGGAGTCCAAAGGCCTGTGGCCAGCTCTGGGGTTCCCTGGTGAAGGAGGAGTGTGGGCCTTGCTGGCCGGGGCCGGGGTCATGCTGCAAGGGGCTGGGCCATGGAGTGACGGTCTCTCTCTTCCCTGCTGATTGGTGTTAGGGTCATGGATGGCGAGAGTCCCTGGGCTGGGCTCGGTACCTGGCACCCCGCTGCCCCTCCCCTGCCAGGCACTCACGCTCTGCTCTCTGCTGGCAGGTTGTACCTGGAACGGCAGCAGCTCAGCTACCGGCTGCACTCGGTGGCCTGCACGGGGAACGAGGTGCACATCTCCATGTGCCCCTTCGAATTCTACAAGGGCAATGCCACTGCCACCTGCAAAGGCGGGATGCCCGCTGTGGTGAGCTGCATGCCAGGGCCCCTCTTCACCACTGGCAGTGCCCCAAAGAAGAAGCAGCAGCGGCAGCAGCGGCAGCAGGGCCAGGTAAGCGCTCTCCATGGGTTCAGCATGGGGCATACGGATTGTTTTGTCCCACCCACTGCGTATCAGGCAGTGACGCCCCAGCGCAGTGACTATCTCCCAGGGCCTGGTGGGGGCAGCAGGAGCCCTGAGGTGCCCCTTGGTTCTGGGCCTGGCAGCAATGCAGAGCGTCGGCTGTCCCGTGACGTGTCTCCCACACTCTCGCCGCAGCAGCGCGTCCGGCTGAAGGGCGGTGCCAAGGCCGGGGAAGGCCGGGTCGAGGTGCTGAAGAACAGCGAGTGGGGCACTGTCTGCGATGACCGCTGGAACCTGCTGACAGCCAGCGTGGTGTGCCGTGAGCTGGGGTTCGGCAGTGCCAAGGAGGCTCTGACGGGAGCACGCATGGGCCAAGGTGAGCTGGGACGGGGGTGGTGAGAGGAGAAGGTCTGGGGCAGCCCCGTGCGTACGTGGGAGCGTGTCAGCGCATGCCGGGGAGCCCGTCAGGGCATGAGTGTGGGCACGTCTGCCCTCTGGGCACCTGTTTGAGCCCCTGAGCCTGTTGCTCTGCACGGGAGAGAACCAGGTCAGGCGGGTTGAAGGCTCTGCACCCCGGGGATGCTGGCTCGAGGGGGCTCTCCCCACATTGGGGTGGGCTTGGTGCTGAGCCGCTCCAGCTCTGTTAGTGAGCGCTGTGCAGTCTGGGTGCCCTCGCGCCCTGCCCCTGCCCCCTCTCTGCCAGCCTCTCCAAGGGGACTCCGGACAGGCAAGCTGCAAGGGCTGGGAGAAATTCAGCCTCCGAGAGAGAGCCCAGCCCCTGGAGGGCCAGGGAAATGCCTGACGCCAGCCCCGTAGGAACTGATCAGGTCTGAGGAGACCCCCATATGTGTCCAGCAGGAGGGAGGGTTGGGGCGAGGAGGGAGAGCTCCTGGGACTAGGGTAGGTATGGGGATTTCCTGGGGCACTGGCTGCCTGCCTCCCCGTCACCTGGCCCCTCTGCTCCCGGCAGGGATGGGTCCCATCCACATGAACGAGGTGCAGTGCACAGGCTCGGAGAAGTCGCTGTGGAGCTGCCCCTATAAGAACATCACGGCGGAGGACTGCAAGCACTCTGAGGACGCCGGGCTCCGCTGCAACATCCCCTACATGGGCTACGAGACCACGGTCAGCACCACCCCCGTGCAGGGGGGCAGCCCGCAAGGGCTGCGGGAGGGGGCCTGGCTTAGAGGCTCAGCGGAGCCCAGGATCTGCTGCTCTGCCAGAGTCCCACGTCACTGCCCAGCGGGGGCCATCTCCCCTGGCAGGGCTCACAGGGCCAGTCCTCTGCCAGCAGCTCCCCCTCATGTCCCCCCGACACACTGACAGCTCCTGGGCATGGAGGGGCCACCTCCGAGACACCGGCAAAGCGGGCACCGCCCCCCCAACAAAAAGGGTGCTAGTGCCGACCAGAGCCAGGTGTTACTGCAGTGGGGTGGAGCCATGGGGCCCAAAAGGGAACCCAGCATGTGCACAGCGCTGTCTGACTGCCCACGGGAAAACCCAGCGTGGTAACGGCTTTCATGGGCCACCCACGAGGCCCTGGGGTGGCTCCCTGCTCGGGGTGTGTGTGTGTGTCATGTGCCATCTGGGAGAGTCCCCTGCTGTGGGGGGGGGCAGATGCCAGCTGGGGTAGCCCCTTGCGGGGGGGACCCATGTGCCAGCTGGGTTTTTACCATCCAGAACACGTGGCAGGGACCCCAGTGCTGCAGTGGCTCTCGCTGGTCCCATCGTAGGTGCCAGCTGGTGAGGCTGAAAGGAGACGATTCCCAGGCTGGGGTGCGGGAGGACTGGTCGTACCCTTGCCGCTGGGCACTTTGGGGGGCAGTCATGGGGGGAAGAGGGAGGACCCTCAGCACAGTCCCTCTTCCATTTCCTCTCTGCTCCCCCATGGGTCGCTGCCCCATTCTATGGGTCTCAGTAGTGTCATGGTGCCCCTGCCCCCAGGCGTCTCTCTCCCATGTGGGTTGGTGCTGGCCAGGGGCTGTGATGATGGGAGGTGTCCCACACGCCCAGGGTCTGTTCAGTTCACAGCCCGCGCTCTGCCCTGGGCGTGGCACCCCACAGTGCCACCCCAGGTCTGGGGAGGAGAGGAGCACCCATTGGGGAACCTCGGCCTACCCTGGGGCGCCCATCCCCGCCCACAGGGAGAGGAGTCACGAGCACCCATCAGGAGATTGCTGCTTTGCACTGCATGCTCCCTGCGTGCTCATGGGGGATGGGCACTGAGCAAACTGGGCGCACGCAGCTCCTCCCTCGGCTCGCTCCCACCTGCGCGGCAGGTCTCTGCTGATTTCACTCCCCATCTCCAGGGCCCCCAGCACCAGCCTGGACGAGGATATTGGCTCCTGCACGGGCAGCTGGACAGGGCTGGAGTCACATGGTGCGAGCTCTGCCCTGGTCCTGCCGCACTGGCCAGTGGTGGATTGGGAGGGGCAGCTTGGGCACCTGGTGCCCCTGGAGATGAAGCGACTGCAAATCACCATCAGCAGATGGGAGGGGCTGTCTGGACCGCAAGGGGGATCAGGGCTGGGGCAGGGGGATACAACTCTGGCTCCCCAGGCCAGCTCTGCAAGGGCACTCCCTCGCACCCTGGGCAGACAGGACCGGGGCTGGAGCTGGCCTGGCACTGCCCGGGCTGCACCCACTCTGAGAGACGAGGTGCAGGCTGTAGGGGCTGCCCCGCCGGCCCCTTCCCCAGCGCCAGGTCAGGCCCCAGCCCCATGGGAAGAGCTGGCTTGTGGCTTCATGGGAGGCTGCTGGGGGAGGTGGGGGACGCCTGGAGCTCTGCAAGTGGAGCCCTCAGGGACGCAGCTGGGCCCTGCCGCCAGCCCCTCCTGCTGCTCCCCAGCTAACCCGGCCTTGTCACCCTCTCTCCGCAGATTCGCCTGAGCGGGGGCCGGAGCCGCTTCGAGGGGCGGGTTGAGGTGGCGCTGGGCACTGGGAGCAGTGGGCGCCCCGCCTGGGGCCTGATCTGTGGCGATGGCTGGGGAACCCTGGAGGCCATGGTGGCTTGTCGCCAGCTGGGCCTGGGATTCGCTAACCATGGCTTACAAGTAGGTGTTAGTGCTGGCTTGGCTAACCGCGTCAGGCAGGGCCCAGTACCCCGGGGGGGCGAGGGCAGCATGCTGGGTTCACAGGGCCGGCTGGCTGTGGGGCGGGGCTGCATGCTCACGGCCCACAGGGCTTCTTCACAGATCCGCATAGTAGGAGGAAGGGCCCCCACCGAGGGCCGCGTGGAGGTGAAGCGAGGCAGTAAGTGGGGAACGGTCTGCAGTGAGGGCTGGACCACCAAGGAAGCCATGGTGGCATGTCGCCAGCTCGGCCTGGGCTACTCCTTGCATGCAGTGACGGTATGTGCTGGAGGGGCCCAGGCCTCAGGGCGTGGGGGGCAGGGGTTCACCCACCGGGACTGGCTCAGGGCTTGCTCGCAGGGCCCAGGCAGTGCGGGGAGGGACGCTTGGGGGCTTGGTCTCTGGGAGCTGCTGCCCAGCAGCCGGGAAGGTACGCACAGGTCTCGCCGGGGGTGGGGAGGGGGAATGGCACGGGCACGGCACCCACAAGTGTGGGGTGGGAGGGGGCACGCCCGGGGCTCGGTGCCTGGCTTGCCGTGCAGAGGGGCAGGGGGCACACGGGACTCTGACCAGCCCGGCGTCTCTCCCAGGAGACGTGGTACTGGGATGCCAGCAACGTGACGGAGATGGTGCTGAGCGGCGTGAGGTGCGCTGGCCACGAGATGGCGCTGAGCCACTGCCAGCACCACGGCAACAGCCTCAACTGCAAGAAGACGGGCACCCGCTTCGCTGCCGGGGTCATCTGCTCCGAGAGTGAGCGGGGGGCGGGGGGCTCTCGGTCACCCTGGCCCCGCCTACTAGCAACTCACAGTGTGTCACGTGGGCTGCAGGTTGAAAACCACAGCACCCCCCACCCCAAAACTGCCCACAGTCCCCTATGTCCAGCGCCCTCGCCCAGAGTGGGGCCAGGAGTGGAGCCCTGGGC